GAGACACCGTGGTGAGAATGTGTTTTGAAGGGACAAACCTACAGAAGGTAGAACAAGATTTCCTAAAGGGCTGGTGTGGGAATGCGAGAGCACCGACTCAGGGATCCCGCTTGAGCTGTGGAAGGGTGGCGCTGCCACTTCAGGGGACAGAGTGCAGAGTTGCAAGTGTGTGGGGCCGGGTACGAGCTGGAGACAGGTGTGGACTGTGAGCGAGGCACCCCTGTAGAGATGCGGGGCAGATGGCTGGCCGTTCCAGTGGGGTGCTGGTGGGGGGCGCCAGTGGGGCAGTCAGGCCGAGGGTATAAACTGGGGAGCGGTTCGTAGATGGTTTTTCAGGAGACCCCATCTGAGATCATTGTCTGCCAGAACACTCTCCCGATAGTCGGTTTCTTGTCATGCTGGTTCCTGCCAGAGGTCACCTCCTCAACCGGGCCATGTCTGCCCACTCTGGCCAAGTAGCCTGTCCTCCTTGCCCGCTCGCCCCATCTCGGTGCTCAGAGCCCCTGGCACTATCTGAAATCATCTGTGCACTGCCTTGTCGGGTTGTGAACCCCTGAGGGCAGCGTCCATGTCTGCCCAGGGCCCAGGGCTCGCCCGACGCAGAGCAGGCCTTCAGGAAAGGAGCTGCCCCCCTTGTTACTGCTCGGCCATTCATTTTGTTTCCTCCCACGGCCAACTTCACCCCAGCCAGGCAGTGAGATCTTTATTGAGCACCAGTTGTGTGCAAAGCACTGCTGGGAAAGGAGAGCAGATGCTCCAGTTACGATTTGTAATGAGAAATAGTATTTGCTCTCTGTCTTCGGGCGCAGATCTAAAGCGCTCAGAATTTCTGAAGGGACAAGAGCCATAAAGGTGTTTTGATATTCCTAACAGAGCCGCTAATCACACCTGAGTTTGTCTTGATAAGGGGCCTTTGGGGAAGCATCTCTCCTGGCACTTTCTCTGAAACTCTGCCAGCCTGGGAAGTTGGTCCTCGCTCCCTGCGCACCGCCCCGCCTCTCTGCGTGTTCCTGGCACTCTGGGCTGGTGCGCCTCTCTCCTGCTTCGGATCTGTAGGTGCGTCTGAGAGGCCGCCCCTGAGCCCGAGCCCGTGGCTCCTGTGCTTGGCTTCCGTGGAGGCATTGAGCTCCCGGGTTACACCGGACTCACTAGATGGCGGGCTCCGCCTCCAGGTCTGGCCCCCAACAGACGCCCGGTGGACGTGTGTCGGATGGATGGGGGGTGAGGTGGACAGTGACGAACACTGCCTTTCTCTTTTTCCCAGGTGGCTTCTGGCATAGCAGCCTAATTGACCGAAACCTCATTGATTATTTTGTTCCCTTCCTCCCCCTGGAATATAAACATCTAAAAATGTGCATCAGAGTCGAAATGCAGTCCCGAGGCTTTGAAATTGACGAGGACATTGTAACCAAAGTGGCTGACGAGATGACGTTTTTCCCCAAAGAGGAGAGAGTTTTCTCTGACAAAGGCTGCAAAACCGTGTTCACCAAGTTAGATTACTACTACGATGACTGATGGCGCCCTGGAGTCATTGCTTCCAGTCGGAGAAGGCGGAACTCCGCACACAGCTCTCTTCCCGGACCTCCCCCGGCTCTGTCCTCTAGAAGAGGACTGAAGGAAACGCTTCCTGTGGGACAGGACGGGAATTTTCCTGGGCCATTTTCATCCAGTGAAGCTTGATGGCATCAGACCCTACAGATCGTGGACTTCGGAACAGCCCCCGGAGCCTTCAGCGGAGGAAGCAGGCAGCTCCCAGTCTGCTCGGCCCAGGGCTCATGATTTTTTAAAAAATCATGTTTTAATTTCAAGTGTTTCTGTTTCAAGGAAGGACGTCTTAAGTTTTACTGAAAATGTAGTAACTTTATTTAAAATGGTTTTTAACATGAGAAACTTTTCAGACTCTACATTGCTGGCTTTGTGTTTTTTGTTTTTTAAAGTTCCGGGTCACCATATCATATACTGTGAGGTCTTTACTGCAAAGAAGTCCGGGCCCGGGTCCTCAGCACGTAGTCCCTAAGATGGCATAACTGGGGACCGAGGCAGGAGCAGTGATCAGACCTGTCATGGGCTGACCATCGCGAGGGGCACTGAAGTGTTTAGATAAAAGCTCGAGTGTGTAAAAGGGGACACACTGAGGCGAGTCACAGATAAGCCTTAAATCCCCAAGGGTTTTGATCTCAGTAACATTGTGACCTGTGGGAATAGCAACATTGTGGACATTTGTTAGAAACAGAGTTTCCTCAGGAGAGAAGTATTTCCAGCTTCTCACTTGCCAGGCCTCCAGCCTTGCAAAGGCGGACGGACCCTCCTCTGCTTGCCATTCCCGAACGGGCCTGACGAACTTGTCTGGCAAGTTCGGCCATATTTTTAAAAACTATATTTGTTGCCAGTTCTTGTTAATGAGAACTCCCGAAACTTAGAAAAGTTAAACTGGCCGCCCTCCTCCCGGTCTACCCTGTGGATGCCAAGAACAGTGTTTTTACTTATAACTACAGAAGAGCTACCATTTTACAATGATGTTGTGTGTCACTTGTGAATACCTCTTTAAAGGAGGAAAAAACCCTCCATAGTAGGTCGTAGGCGCTTCAGCTGTGAATGAAGACCCAGCTGATGCGGTGCACAGCCGAACCCGGGGCCTCTGAGCCTCCCGATGGCTCTTGCTCTCTGCCTAGCAGCACTGGGCTTCACGGAGCTCCTGACACCCAGCCTTGGAGTTCAAGTCCAGAGACACAGCCTCAGCGGAGGTGCCAGCCGGGTGCACAGAGCGCTACAGGGGACTAGGCATACCTTGGTGTACGTGGCACCTCCAGCAGGGGTGGGGGGAGCGCCTGTGGGCTGTGGCACCGAAGTGCTCACAGACCCATTTTTTTTTTTTTAAGATTTTATTTATTTATTTGACAGACAGAGATCATAAGTAGGCATAGAGGCAGGCAGAGAGAGAGGAGGAAGCAGGCTCCCTGCCGAGCAGAGAGCCCGATGCGGGGCTCGATCCCAGTACCCTGGGATCATGACCTGAGCTGAAGGCAGAGGCTTTAACCCACTGAGCCACCCAGGCGCCCCTCACAGACCCATTTTTTGCAGGCCCAGAGGACCAGCTGGCACCCGCCGCCACAGGACCCCTTTGTCTTGTGGGGCCTGGCCCCCAGAGAGGCTCTTTAAGGGCATCCAGGCCTCCCAAGCTTGGATGGCTGCAAGTGTTGGAAGTTTTGCTTTAAGATTTATTCATTCATTTGAGAGAGAGCAGGAGCATAAGTAGGGGTGAGGGTCATAGGGAGAGGGAGAAGCAGACCTCCCTGAGCAGGGAGGCTGATGCAGGGCTGGATCCCAGGACCTTGGGATCATGACGGGAGTGGAAGGTAGAGGCTTAACCGGCTGAGCCACCCAGGTGCCCCATGTTGGAAGGTTCTTGATGTGGAGCAGAAGCTGACCTGTGGTCCTGTCGCCAGGGGTCACAGATTGGGCTAATGACTCAGATGTCAGCCCCAGCACCTGGGCACCCCTCCGTAGGGAACATGGGAGTCCCCTGACTTCCATCTGGCAAGTTCAGTCTTTGTAGATGAGGGCGGAGCGGAAACTGCACGAGCTGGGAACAGACCTGGAAAGTTCTGTCTTGGGACTTGAGCACCTTCAGTTAAGAAATGGTGGGAGCGGGTGGGATGCTGGGTTTGAACTTTCTAGAAAGTAGCTGGCTTGTCCTCAGTCCTGAAAGGGGGTTGGTGTTAACGATCCACTGACAGAGAAGCCCTGTGGACTGCGCTCCAGCAAGGACCTCACCGGATGGTGCGGGCTTCTGGCTCGGAGCCCGGCCTTGCTCAGGTGCAGAAGGTCAGCAGGAAGCCCTGTTTTCCCACTGCCTCAGTTCCCTTCCTATGTCATCTTCGGGAGCAAACGCTTGCTAGAAAGAAGCCCAGCTCTCCCTGGAGTTTTCATCCGTGAAACTGTGGCACAGAACCCATCACCCATTCCAGTGTTACTGTGTGCGTGGGGGTCAGGGGGGACCAGACCTGAAGGTAAATACTGGCCAAGTGACGCAGACTCCCCGCCAGCTGGTCCGGGGTGTGGTGTGCCTGACACCCCGAGCTGCTGGACAGCCTTTCTCCCAAGCTTGAACTGTTCAGAGTTACCGAATAAACTAGGGAAAACAAAAACGTTAAGTGACACGTCACAGGATAAAATGTAGGCTTTATTTCATTTTCAGTAGGTCAGTTCAAGTTCCTGTCTATCTCTTACACAGGGTGAGAGAGGATGTGGCCAGTCGTGGCCTCTTCCGGGTACAAGTGCAAAGGTGGCTCACACGTGGTGAGTGAATTGCATCACCATGAACCGGGAAAAGCTTGTCTCTCCCTGACCAGACACTTGAGGGGTTAGAAAGAGCTGGAACTAGGCTTCAGGGCAAGAACAGGTACAAAAAATTTTAAGCCTTAACTGGGCTTTTTTTTTGTTTTTAAATCTGAGAGAGAGCGAGCACACAAGAAGGGGAAGCAGCAGGCGGAGGGAAACGGAAATGCAGGCTCCCCGCTGAGCAGGGAGCCCAACACAGGGCTTGATCCCAGGACCCTGGGATCATGATCTGAGCCAAAGGCAGAGACGCTTAACTGACTGAGCCACACAGACGTCCCTTAACTTGGCATTTTTAAAAGACTAAAGGTGACCCTCTGTAAGGCACTCCTGTGTCATGAAGATGTCCCTTCCGCATCTCACATATAAACACACTGCACGCTGTTCTTCTCAAGGGTCTCTGGTCACGTCACAGCTGTGACACTGACACACACACACACACACACACACAAACCAATTCACACGGGCTGGAATCATCTTATTTCCCGGTCGCCAGCACGGTCCAGCCAGAGAGGGCGCTCGTCCTCGGGACACCCGGGACCAGCCGCGTCACGCGGACTTCATCTGACCTCCAACTGCGACCAGCTATTGCCACACACTGAAGGATAAAAATGCGTAGTTTTTGTAAAAAGTTTCTGATAAAAGGATAGGCAGTTACTCCATTTTTTGGTATCCTTCCCATATTTTAAAATAAGCCACGTCCTATATTTTTCTGTTATACAAGATTCACAAGTAAAAACATCATAAAAACCTACATATCCTTGAGAATTCTAGCATTTCTGGTGCCCAGTGCCTACACTTCTTTGGCAACGCAGAACCCGCCGGCTGACCGCTCTGGCACGTAGCATCCACGGAGACCGAGCTTGTCCTGTGGATTTCAGATGATTCTCTGGAGTAAAGTGAGGGATCGACCCACGCATAAACTTTAACTGACATCTCGCCGCGGGAACAGAGGACTCAAATGCAAAACCGAGGGCCTCATTCTGATTTGACTCTCGTGATGACATGCGACTGGGGGCAAATCTAGCAGCGACTGAAGTTCAGGAGCAGAAGTGGTACCAGGAAGACGGAGATCAACACCAAGTAAGAGAAGGCAAAGGAATTCCAGCCCAGCCGGTCCTGGGCTGCTGCAGAAGCCTCGGTTGGAGACCCCACGCCACAGGCAGCGAGGTCGCCTGGTCGAGGATGCTCCTAGTATGCAGACCTGCATCTCCCTGGACACTGCCTGTGCCTGAAGGTGCCACTGATTTCAAGTGAAAAGCCAGTGAACACTCTCGGAGGTTTTCAGCAGGTGCAAACTGAATGCTCCCCAGGTTGCCACAGGGCCCTTGCACTCCCTGAGTTAGAGCTGCAGCTTCTGAGGTGTGGGTGCCGTGGGGTCAGAAAGGGTCCCAGATCTCACACAGCTGTTTGCAAGGCACTTGTGTCAAGGTCAGCAAGGGGGGAGGGGGCAGGATTTTAGAAGTTCATCGTCCACCACAGTTCACAGATGGATGGCTGTCCAGTCCAAGATGACAAGTACACTCAATAGATTAGTGTCTGTTCAAAACTCAACTCTCAGAAACTTCCACGTCCCGAAAATCCACAGGTGCAAAGTGCAAACCCCACACAGGGCTTCAAAGTGCTTCCGGAAGGCAAGACCCTCACTTGCTGAGCTCCCAGTGGCCTCTTACCCCGCTTGAGTCAGAGGTCAGTGAAAATCCAACCGTGACTGCACAGTCTTGCAGCCCTTGTCTGAGTAGATTTTCTCGCTTTTGGGGAAAAAAGTCATTTCCTCTGCCACTCTGGTGACAATGTCCTCATCTATGACAGAGCCGCGGGCCCTCATCTCTGCCCGTATACACATCTTCACGTGTCTGTACTCCAGAGGGAGGAAGGGGATAAAGTAATCGATGAGGTTCCGGTCTATCAGTCCGCTGTGCCACAGGCCACCTGCAAAGCAAGACACAGCTGGGTCTTCCCATCACTGTCCCTGTCACCTGGCCAAGCTCACTGCTCTTATAGGGCCCATTCTGATCCCAGCTCACAGTACGTTCTTCCTGTCTCTACCCCCTCGAGATTCTCCTTTTATCAAGCGTGCAACAAGTCTGTTAAGGTTACCCCCACTACGGGTGCCTGGGTGGCTCAGTGGGTTAAGCCTCTGCCTTGAGATCATGACCTCAAGGTCCTAGGATCGGGCCCCACATCGGGCTCTCTACTCAGCAGGGGCCTGCTTCCCCCCACCCCTGCCTGCCTCCCTGCCAACTTGTGATCTCTGTCAAATAAATAAATAAAATCTTTAATTAAAAAAAAAAAAAGGTTACCCTCACTACCTTGCTTCTGTTATGGGACGTCCCTACTTCAGCGAAGCCAGAGAGGCACAAGGATTCTGAGGCTCTGTAGAAGGTGTAAAGGAGGAGGGGGCTCCGCTGGCAGGGTCGGGGGTTCCTCGGCCTGGGAGACTCACTGTGCTTATTGTTGAAGACTCCGACAGACAGCACGGGTTCCAAGTCCTTCAGCTGAATGTCTTCCCTCTTTCTTCCCGCCCGCCAAAAGTCAAGGGCAATCTTAGTTATGAGGTCCCCACCGGCATTGCTGAATTTGCCAAAGAAGCAGAATAAAAATTACATGGTAAGATTCTGTGTCCAATCAAGAATCATACCTGCTCTGTGGTTTCTTCTCACCTGGAGGAGGATTTACTAAGTGCTCCTGGACAAGGACACAACGAGCGCCTGCCTTCACGGAGCTGGAAATCTGCTTTTCGAGAACTTGCCGCACAACGCTGACTTTTGACGAGCCTCGGAGGCATGGGCAGGTAACGAAACTGCCAGTTACCAGCAGTTTCTAATTCATTTTCTCAGGCCCTCCCACTCCTTGCCACGCCGATGGTAGCAACCGCGAAGTAAAAGAAATCAACAATTTCCTTTCGCCAGGCACCTCTGTCCCTGGGCAACAGGATGCTGACGGTTGCCAGGACCTCCTTCTAGCACCGGGAGAATGAGGGCCTTGTGTGCCCCCAAGAAACCACCTCACGCTGACCTGAGAAAGATGAAGATGGCCTTCCGGTAAGACACGCCATCGACCTGCTCGTAGTAGTCTAGAAATGGCTTGATTGCGTCGATGACCCCGGGGTGCAATTTGTCCATCTCATCAAATATGAACACGGAGCTCGCACACGCACTCACGTTACCCCGAATCCATCCTTGTAACTGGTCCTAGACCAACCATAAAAGAAAGAGGGTGCAGAGGCTCAAAGGAGGTGCTGAGGGGAGGAGAAGCACAGCACGGTTCCCCCACTCCGCAAGATGGCAAATTGGGGCTCTCTGGGCCTTCACGAAGAGCTCTCGGAAACTGCATCCTAACCTCCATGCACTGGGTAACAGCTTTTCTGTAACTGTATCTGTAAAAAGTGGAAGCTGACAGGAAAAACACCTCTTTGCACCTTAGCACCTAACTCAAGTAATGTGCAGAGCGTGACTCTTTAAAGGTATAAGAGGAGCAAGAAACATGAATATTCATCGGTCACGGTTAAGCAGCCCATCATGTCAGCTTACCCTGGCCTGAAAGCTCACGTTAATTTTAGCAGACAGACGGATAAGCAACTGGAAACTGAAAGAGCCTTGCACAGTGCCCCAAACCAGCGCCTGGACTGATGCAGTGAACAAAAGAGCTGGTACTTCATGGAAAGCATTTTGCCCTATGCTTTCCCAAGACAAAGACACCCAAGCAACAAGTCCTCTACCCCAAAATGTGAAAGGCTCTAGAGGCCCCCTCATCTAATTACTGTATTTCTAGAGGTTCACGAAAGGATTTGGAAAAACAAGAACAATTCCTTCATTTCAGCAATCTTTGGGCTCAGTCTGTGCGGCAAAGAGCCACTTTCACTTCCCTTTCAGTTCAGTTTCTGTTTCTCATTCAGGTCCTCCCCCAACAGCAGGACTATTAACCTTTACAAGGACGACCCTAGACAACTTAATATAAATTAAATGTAGACAGTATCTCCAAAGGAGGAACGGGCTTAAGAATCAGTTCTTTGAGGCTTGCATTTGAAGAATGAAAGCAATGCCAAGGATTTGAATGTAAAGAAAGAAAATAAAAGCGACTGGGTGGGGGTGGGATCCTCTGGTCTACAGCCCTAACTGCCACGTGCTAACTGCAGATGCTGCGCCATTGGTGGGAGACCTCGATGAAACCACATCAGAACCAATCATTTAAGAGCGTTCCGCTGCACCAGGGGCTGGGACGGAAACACCGAATGCTCATTCAATGCAGAACGTGGCTGCCCCAGAAACCTCGAATCTGGAGATTTGGGCCCAAGTTTCTGACTTGCCACAAGGACACAGAGATTGTAAGGCGCCAATCCCCTCATGGCTGTCTTTTAATGGAAGTAACGTTTCCTGCCCCACTTTATCATTTTGGAATCAAATGAGAAAAACGTTGTAGGAGAGCTCTGCAACAGCAAAGCGCTACTGGGGACAAGGTGCCTTAACTCAGTGGGGGCCCAGGGCTACTGCAGTGCAAAGGAAAGCAGCAGAGGCCAGAGTTAGCAGGTCGCCCAGACCAGTATGAGTGGCCAGTGGGCGAGATAAAGGGATTCTCTTGCCTGGTACAGTTTTATCTGCTGCTCGTGAGGAAAGTGCAGGGTGGAGACAAACAGGTGGACAAAGTTACTCTTCAGGCCTTTTGAGTGAAGATTTTCTGCCACAATTTGGCTGACAAAATTCTTGCCTGTGCCGGCCCAGCCATGTAAGGAAAGAGTCAGCGGTTTCTTGGGATTCTTGTTGTTCTTGAAGCCCGTCAGCGCCTTGAGAATCACCTCTGTGGCCAGATGCTGCCCAAACAGCTTCTCCTCTAATTCCAGCTTGAGGGCTGCAGGAGCCAGCCGGAGAACAGAGAGAAAAATACACATTAGACAGACACCAGAAAAGCAGCACTTTCCCCAGCAGGCCAAAGCGAGAAGCACGTATTAGCAAGCGGTCCAGCAGGGCGTCTGCCAAACCCCAGGGCTGGCCCGGAGGCAGAACCTCGGGTTGAAAGTCACACGATGCCACTTCCAAGGCTATGCATTAGACAGATGTCCTCAATACTCCGGTGTCTGATAAGGAAGCTAACGTGTTCGTTCATCCAAGGATTAGCCTTCTCTTGACTGAGCTACAGGGTATGCCCCAGCCGCCCCTGCTGGCTTGTAAGAAAACCAAGAGCCGAGTGTGGGCTTTCAGGGTAGCCGCCGCACGTATGAAAACTACTTAATAGGACTGACGGTGCAAAGCGCTGGGCGCGGGCCTTTCGCTTCTTCTTACTGTACTCGCAGGGAGTCCGGGGCGTTTAAGAAGGAGCTTACGCAGATCTCCACGATCTGGAGCGTGGGCCTCAGAGAGCAGGGCTTCCAGGGCTGGATTTCGGACCGAGACCCCGTCGGTGCCCCCCGCCCCCGCCCCCGCCCCAGCTCAGGGTGAGCGCCTCGCCCCTCGCGGGCAGACCCGCCCTACCCGACGCGTTGAGCCGCTGCTCCTCGCGGCAGCACTCGGCGAAGCGGCAGTAAAGGTCCTTGTAGGACAGGTAGCCGGTGAGCGCCGACGCGGCCCCGATGGCGATGCCCACGGTGATGGGCTCGAACGCCGCCACCGCGTGGACCGTCAGCAGCAGCCCCAGGGTCACCCCACGTCCCAGGCTAGCAGCCCGCCACATCGCCCCACTCGTGGCCCGCCAGCCTCCGCGCCGTACTGCCCGCCAGCCCGCAGCCAGACCGGACTTCCGGCTGCGTCACTTCCGCCCCGCCCCTCCTCCTACCCCGGGATGACCATACTGGCGGAGGCGGGGCTTTTGTGCCGCCATCTTTGTGCGGGGCGCCAGAGCTGTCCGGGGCTTCGGCTGTCACGAACCCGGTGCCTGCTTCTCACGGTTCTGTGTCCTAGACGTTTTCCGAGCCCCCACACGTGGCTTTGTCATCCCTCCCCCTGGAGCTGCGGGGAGCCTTCCCATGTCTGCCCACCTGCCTGCCTTCCTGAGACGGCCGGTCTGCGCTCTGCGGGCCCACCCGGGGAAGGCACGAGGAGTGCTGGGCTCCGGCGCACGGTCAGAGCCGCAGCCCGTCGTGGCCTTGCGCAGGCTGCGAGGCCGGCCCTGCGGCGGGTGCTGGGAGGACCGCAGGGAAGCAGCGGGAGTCGGTCCTGGCGGTGCGCGGCCCCCAGGCAGACGGTGGGCAAGGGCCCCGCGCTGAGCGGTGGGAGCAGCCCGGGGCCCGGGGAGCAGGGACGGCCTCCGTCTAAGCTGAGAACTCGAGGAGCTTCTCGAGCAAGAAGGGAGGAGTGGAACGCTTGCCCAGAGAACAGACAGTGCGGTGTGGGGGAGTATTTCCCACGCTGGAGGCCGGCGAGAACGAGGACGAGGCTGGAAAGGGAAACCCTGCAGGCGCCGGAGGGAGTCCGCGCTCTGTGCGGGAGGCCATGGGGAGCCACGGAAGATTGCACACGGGGAGCGGCGGGGGCAGAACAGAGACCACCCTGGCTGTTGGGTTCAGTGAGGAGACTGGTCCAGGGGATCTTGGCCCAGGCTTTCCTGAAACGGGTTGAGTTACCCATCAGCCAGCCGCTGGACAGATGTTTGATGAACACTGGCTCAGTGTCAGATTCGGTGCCACATGCTGGGGATACAGCGGGAGCAGGGCAGAGGCCCAGGCCTCGCAGAGCTCTCGGTCTGGGGCGAGGGAGACAGACGGGCGGCAGGTGGGTTACCGCCAGTGCGGTCCGTGGTGTGACGTGGGACGCCCAGAGGAGGCACCTTACTCAGTCTGCGGGCTGGGGAAGGCTGTCCTCCCTATCTCAGTTGAGACCCGAACAATGAGTAAAATTGCTGTGGGCTTAGATTCCATTGGGTGTGCAAGAAGAGCAAAGTATCATCTTAAAATGTTGATGCACTAGACAGGAAACTGGGTCTTTTGTAACCATATAAACTTATGATGAAAATGTTCAATGTCGATCTATGCATGTATGTATGAGCAAACACCATGTGAGGACCCCTCCCTGGAAATCATACCCTGCTTAGAAGGCATTGACTCTTTTTTTTTTTTTTTCATTTATTTATTTGGCAGTGTGAGAGCACAAGTAGGCAGAGTGGCAGGCAGAGAAGCAGGCTCTCCACTGAGCAGGGAGCCTGATGTGGGGTTTGATCCCAGAACCCTGGGATTATGACCCGAGCTGAAGGCAGACGCCTAACCAGTTGAGCTACCCAGGTGCCCCAAAGGCATGGACTCTTCACCCCCATGTTAACTCTGCATTTACTTTAAATAGTTGGTGCCTCCCTTCTGGATTAGTAGCTCCTAGGAAAGGACACACATAGGGACCCAGAGCTTTGTTCTCTGGCAAGATGGCCTCCTTCCTCTCCACGGTCAGCCTCTTTGTTGCCACACCTTCCCTGTCTCCCACCCTACAGTCCTGACCTGCCCTGAGGCTCTCTTCTAGACCCCTTCTGTCTCCCTGCTCTCTCCCTGGGTGAGAGGACCCAACTTTCTCCCTCAAGACCCTACATCTGGCTGCACACTGGACATCTCCATTTGGCTATTCTCCAGACAGCTCAGTACCCAGACAGTCAAACAGAAAACTTGACTGTTTTCTGCAAATGTCCCTCCCCCCGTGGTCCTTATCTCAGGAAGTGGACCCGTCTTCCACCAGCTGCATAGACCCAAAGCTAGTGGTTGTCCCGGATTCTTTTCTCCCCGAGTCCTCCACTACTAATCCATCGGCAGGTTGCTGACCCCATGTTCAAAACCTCTCCAAAGCTCTTCAGGCATCATCTCAATCTCCTTGGCCACCCCCAGTCCAAGCCTCCATCATGGATGGCCACGGTAGCCCTGTAGGGGGTCCCCTGCCTCTGCATTCTCCCTGATCTGTACTGTCCAGGACAGAGACAGGTGGTGTTTTTGTAAGGGCCTCTTTAGCCAGAGTGGCCCCACCTTGGTTGAACAGCCATTTTGTTGTTTATGCAGTAAAACTTAAATTGACCCTGCCCTCCCCCAGGGGAACTTATTTAAAATCAAGTCCGGGAAACCAGTCCCAGGTAACAAAGCCCAAATACAAGGGTGGGTCAGGTCAGGTGGAAATAACAGGCGGAACGCAGGGATGAGTCGGGTAAGGTGGAGACATCCAATCAGTAAAGCGCGCATACTGTCTCCGTAGCTACCAAGGAGTGTGGGCCCGCCTTTTGCGGGGGGCAATTCTCACCAAGGTGATAGGCTAGTGCAAATGTCTACTATGGGGTGAATTGTCAGTTGACCACCCGTGTGTGACCTAGCATGGCTGTGCAGCTTTCTCTGTGTATTGCAATCTCATTGGCCACCTGTGTGTGGCCAGGCCCAACCACATGGCCTTTGTTCTATAAAAGTTAGTCTGTGAGGCAGGGAGGGGTCATCCTCTCTGTAAGGGCGGCCCCGACCGGTGTGTTTGACGGTCGGTTTGATTCTTTTTTTTTTTTTTTTTTTAAAGATTTTATTTATTTATTTGACAGAGAGAAATCACAAGCAGATGGAGAGGCAGACAGAGAGAGAGAGATACAGGCTCCCGGCTGAGCAGAGAGCTCGATGTGGGACTCGATCCCAGGACCCTGAGATCATGACCTGAGCCAAAGGCAGCGGTTTAACCCACTGAGCCACCCAGGTGCCCCGGTCGGTTTGATTCTTGATGCTTGGCGCGAAACAAAGCTTTGCTTGACCTTCACTTTGTATCAGTCTTGCTCCTTTGACCATGGACCCATTATTGGGGGACCCAACATTGGGGACCCAACATTTTCACGACAAATGGGATCATGTAACTCCTGCGCTCAACCTGTCCATGGCTTCCAAAATCCCTTAAGAAAAAATACACCCTTTTTATTCTGACCTCAAAGCTCTACCTGATGTGCCCCTGACTTCCTCTCAGACCTTCACATCCCACATACTTCCTTGTTCTCAAACCCACAGCCTTGTCTCTCTCCTGAGCATGCCGTTCTTTCTGCCTGGACTCTTGCTTCGGAGTGTCACCTGGCTAAGATCTTTCAGGCCTCAACTTGAGGCCCACCTGCTCTACCTAAAGTAACCTCACTTCCACCCCTCGTGGCCCACTGTCCCTATCACCCTGTTTGTGTCCTTTCCTATTGGACCTATTGTCCATCTCTTGCACTGGACTGAGGTCTTCAAGAGGGACTTTATCTGTTGTGTTCTGTTTCTCTAACTCTCAGAACTGTGCAACATATACAGTAGGTGCTCAGTAAACATGTTTAACATCCAAGAATAGCATACAAACTGATTTGAGGGCCAGATATGCCACGATAGACTAAATGTTCCCATCCCCCAAAATTCATATTCTGACTCTGACGGTTTTAGGAGGAGGGGCCTTTGGGAAGTAGCTGGGTCATGAGAATGGAGCCCTTAACATTAAGATGTTGATAATTGGGGAAACTGGGTGAAGGCTATATGGAAATTCACTGTACTATCTGCAGATTTTCTGTAAATCTAAAATAAAAGGTTTCTTTTGTTTAAAAAAAAAGCAATTTTGTCTGTGCTACTCTCTGACAATCAGTGATACTGTAAAAATCATAATCACATGAGCTTTAATTCTTCTAAACTGAAGTTGGTTTGTGCAAGTGTGTAAATTGCACTTGATGGACAGAAATGCTCGAAAGACAGAATGAAGCATATGTGAAACGGGTAAATTGTCTATCTTATATCTGTGAAAAGGAATGAGGGGTGGGCTGTGTAGGACACAGTAGCAGGAGCTCTGGACCCTTCATGCTCTGGCACTGTCCTTGTAGAGAGAGAATCTGATTGGCCCAACCTAGATCAGATATCTTGACCTTGGATCAACTAACCATGGGCAGGGGTGTTGTGCCAAAGTAGCCCCCAGTTTGGACTGTTCTACACATTTCTATGGCATTTTGTTCCCCTAAAATGTATTTCCTGACTTGCCATTTGATCATTTATTATGAAGCTGGCCACTGGAATCCATAGAGGGTTGGAACACAGCCACAAGAGTAGAGGACCTCCAGGCCCCCTCATAAAGAGCTCTCTGGGGGACAAAGACACATTGGAGCCCCAGTGGTGGACATAGCTGAGCCCAACAGTTGCTCTCCAACTACATAATCATTCTGACACTGCTTTGTGCTCCATTCCTGCTCTTTTAAAAAAATTTTAAAAATTTTAAAAAGAATATGTATTTCAAATGGACAAAAAAATTACTACCATTTACTGTATCTTAGGATACATTGCCTTAGAATGGGAACCTCCAGTACTCTGAGGTCTGCAAGATAGATCTAGAAACCTGGTTTCTTTAGAAAAATGAAGACTGTGTAAGTCAGATGAGGGAGAAGGTAGTGACAGCCAATGGCTCTTTTTTATTAATTGCTATAATACCGTCCTTCAGTGGCTGAGGGAGTTTCATATTTTCTTTAGACATTGTTAGGCACCAAAAGTCTCGTAGGACAACTTTGATGCTATGTGACTCTGCCATTTTCCTGGCACTGATGAGGCTCTTGGGTGACCACCTCATTAGAACTACTACTCCATTCATATTAATTTTTGTTACAAATCTTACAAAGGGGAGTGATTCTGGGCATTTAGATCCACATTCTGTCTTAAGGCTGTCTGTTCGGTTTTCGTAAATTGTCCAAGCCTGTGCTGGCTGCCGTCCTGTGTCACGGTCACTGGAAGCCTGGCGACTTCTTCACCCTCCACTCAACCCCTGGCCCTCGTGTTCTA